CTACCAACAGCACCAGCAGCCATGAACAGAGCCTGTCCTGTTCAAGTAAATGAAGAACAGGGGATGTGAGCTGTAGGGAGGCAGACTGGATTTACTGGGAATAAAAATAATTGACACTTTATTGATCCCCGTGGGGAAATTGTCTTTACGCCTCCCTCAACTTGCTCTATTTTTTCATAGAGCAAGTTGTCCGTGAGGGGCAGCCACCCGTGGCGGCACCCAGGGAGCTGGGGGCTAAGGGCCTTGCTCAAGGACCTGCAGACGTGCTGAGGCTGGGTTTGAACTGGCAACCTTCTGATTACAGGCACACAGGCTCAGCCCACTGAGCCACACGCTGCCTCACATGCTGATGACAGTAGAACCACAGAACGAGAGATTTCACACATATCATGAGAAAGGCACTCAATATCAGGCGAGTGGAGGTCTCTCTATCTCACTCACACACACACACACACACATTATGGCAGATTATGGCATCTCTTCATTCATTTATATGGGTATAACCATAATCCTATGACAACCTTAACCCCTACCCAGCACTAACCTTAATCATGAGTAACCAAACAAAATACAATGCTTTTGGAATTTTTAGTTTTTTGGTTGCATCTTGGAAAAATAGGGTTTCCCCTTGTGGGGACTGAAAAAATGGCCCCACAGGCTCAAAATAGCAGGTTTTTAATTTGGTCCCCACAATGTAATACATACATGACCTACACACGCACGCACAAAAACAGAGCGCCTCACTGCGGGAACAGTCTGCCAACATGGCTGACGTAAATGTGATGAAATATTTATAACATATGCGTTTTTTTCTTTAATTAACATTTGACAGCATGTTTGATTGTGTCTCTTAATTACTGTGCTGATGAGGCTTTCGATGAGCAGCCTTAGCCTCTTGGGCTGTGCGTTTCTGGGCGGGGACAAGTCACGGACACTGCTCCCCGCTTCATTTTCCCCCTCGGTGTCAGAACCTTGACCCTCCCATGTTGGAGCAATCAATCTTCCTCGCCGGCATTCCGGGCCTCTGCACCGGAGCGTTCTGACTCGCGGACACGTCCCAGGCAGACTAATGGATGGACAGAAACTGCAGGAATTATTCTGTGACACCAACCGTGTTCTCATAATCCCACGCAAGATACAGTGTCAGCGATAGTGACGCCCCTGGATTCATAAGGATTTTAACATTAAACACGGTCTCCAAAAAGCATTTAACAAGCAGATTTGAATCCTCGACACAATTGGAATTCGAATTCCATATACTTTGCAACCATTCTAAAACCACTGACCTTTTAAACCCTATTTAACATCTCAGACAATGTTAGCATATTAACGCTTAGGTGTCACGGCAACAGAAGAAGGTGTGAATCCCATTTCAGGAAGGTAACAGACGTACGATGGCAGTTGCTGCCTTAGTGGGATTATCAGCGTCCCCCCACCCCCCATCTGCCTAATCCCTCACCTCACTCACAGACATTACATTTGTAATTCTCAGGCGGCACCGCAGCAATGAAAAGGGCGATTTGAGTTGCCGGTGGTAGAACGTTGCAGATTAGCAGAGCCGGGCCACACTATGACATTCTGCTTCCACCGTTGCTACTACGTGAGAAGATACATAACTACAAGTAGATGACAACGCAGAACGGAGGAGTTTACTCTGGATTCCGAGGCCACACATCTGCGTAAATAAGCGCCGTAACTTTAAATTTAAATGAAACTTTAAATAAAGCTGTCTGATGAGGCCGGTTTCTCGGGCAGGTCAAACATCTTCAGCCAGAACATGTGATAGGCTAAGACAGAACTCTCCAGCGAAAACAACAAATAAAATGCAACTGTGTTCCTGATTCCTGGCTATTCGGAATGACTAGAGAAATTAGTAAAATCACGCAGTGAACCATTTTAATGATTACTCGTAGATATCCCTTGAATTATCAACTAAGGATCTGGCTAATAAAAATAGAGGTTATTACACAATATATGCTATTCAGTATTGTTTCACACACAACAGCATGAGTATTAAATAATGTAAATGTATGTCATTAGTATATATGTAACTTTTTTTGGTTATAACCTGATTCAAAAGCAGCATACTGCAGTTTATCCTTCACACTAATGAGTAGCCTATATGTTTCTCTGCAGTCATAAATCAAAAATTCACCTTGAAGTAAATTGGTTAGAAAGGGATTAAAAGTATATCAAATAAACTTCTGTCACACCAAACACAGCATCTGTTTTACACCGTTTCCAAAGGTATTATTCCCTGGTGTACTGCCGAATTAACCATGCATAATACATCAATAGCTATTTTAAAAATGTATTAGGTTTACGAAACTACCATAGTTATATAACAACGATGTGTCGTGATGCTTTTTTTGCATGGAGATACAGTGTCGGTCTTGACAAAGTAGGATGCAGGGAAAAATATCAGACGTGTGATGTTGGGGTGGAGTTGTTCTTTATCAAAGCTAAGATCAGGAATGGTAGACGAGCACTCAACGTTACTGACTGCGCTAAAATAGAGACATTCGATCTTCCACCATTATTGAAGAGGGTTCTTGTGATCCACCTCTGAAATGGCTGTTAGGAGCCAATTCGGCGAAAGCAGTTAAAACAGACTGTCACTGTTCAAATATTAGTCCTTTTTTCCTCTTGAAATGATTGTCTGTAAAGTACCACTGTTTAAACACTAACCATCCTCTTTTGTGTCAAACCAGATATGCATTCCTATTCAAACAAAAAGATCCTCGCAATGTGATTAATTGAAACATGTTGAAAGTAAGTGACCCCACAACCCTGACTGGAATAAAGGGTTAAGAGATGGAGGGAAAGTAAGTAAACGAGAATCAAGCAACAGTCAAAGGAATAGGTGAGTTACAGGAGTGGGAGTGGCGTTTTCGTGCTAGATCAGAACATCAGAGTCCAGTTCTCTGGAAGGTTGGGGTCTGTTAGCATGTGTGCTGAAACCTCTCACTCATTCCAGACAATAGGGATGTTTCCCCAGCACTGCATCACTCTAGCTTAGCTTGAGGTCTCACTGTCTTAAGCCCTGATACCAAGAAATTCATTTTTTTTTCCTTCTGTCAACTGACAAAGTGGAGTTTGCCATTTGTACATCGGTCTCATTGTCAGGCCAGATTGAACTCAAGTTTTCTTGTCGTTTCACATATGACACAGCGGTGTCAGAAACACACTTAAAATGACAGGGAACTATTCAGATACCGGTGACTGTCAGACGGGATTCAGATAAAAGCTCCTGAACAGGGTCTCTGCAGTGTTGGGGGTTGTACACTGCGAGACTGACATTCATCTGTGCTCACCGGCGTTCTGATGGTTAAAAAATTGAAAAAATGTGTCATTATCTCATCAATCTGGTGCTCAGTGTTACCCTGAAGCATCGCAGGGTCAGTGCAGCATCTGTTTTCCGTGAAGATCACACTCTTCTTACGGAAACATTCACGGGGAGAAAAAAAAGAAAAAACATAGCAAGTGCTTCTCAAAGCATCTGTTGAGTTTGCTGGTGTTGACTTGAGCTCACAGATGGACAGATATTCCATAATGTGAGTGATACATAAAGATATTGGTTCCTCCCCAGTGAGACAAGCGCTGACACGCCCTCGCTTGGAAAGTAGATAAGATCACCGGTATGTAAACGATCCTCTTTATCAGCAGAAAATACAGAGCCGTTTCAGTACCTATAAGTAATTTAATCATGTATATAATAGAGCAAATAAAGACAGAACAGAATCTCACCCAGCTGAATGATGAAGGACATCTTTAGAACCCTCTCAATTGCCATCACCATTAAAAATGTTTAGCACCTTGGTTAAGGACAATTTACTAGATAATCGATAATAGTGCGACTTAAATTAACCTCTGGGCTTTATCAGTCAGTCATCACTCACCCCTAAAAACTAATGGCAGTCATTCTTTCCTAAGAACTTCTTCTTGATCTTATTAATTACCCATTATCCATGTAATTAATCTTTAGATACAGAGTGTCACTATATAGTCCTAATATATTCATTTAAATGAATGTCATTGCTGACACAGAAATCACTGTTTCCCTTCTATTCCTGCCATTCTGGTTACTCTGTGATAATAGCAAACCACTGGGCATTTTTCTTCGTGAAATAACTGTTTGAGGACACTCCTATCTCTGTAACCCAGGGGTACTCAATTGGTGGACTTCGGACTGGAATGATTTAATCCCCCAGAGTTGACAATATCTACTGAAGGAACCACCCCAGCCCCCCCCCCCCTTCCCCCAGTTGGCAGAATCTACCGAGGGGGTACCTTCTAATCCATCCAACCATATTTCCATTTTCCATACCCACTTGTCCTATATAGGGTCATGGGGGTCCGGAAACCCGTCCTGGAAGATACTGTCGCAAGGCAGAGATCAACCCAAGATAGCATACCAACCCTTCCACCCCGGAAAATTTTATCCTGGGCCTTGTCTTTGTGTTGCTGATGGAATTTGGACCTTCGGGAAAAATAAACCTAGTATCACTGATCTAGCCCGAAGCCATTATAAATACTAATTGCAATTCTGCACAATATAGCATCTTGCCAGTAGAAGAGAATGAATAGATTTAATAACTCCCCAGAATGTAACTTTTTCATTAGGGACTGATGTTAAAGTGCTGTAGTCATTCATTTAATTACATCCGTAATCCTTGTTAAACTGTTGTTACGATGCCGTGATGATGCTGTTTGCCATGGACAGCAGCTACTCTTATTTATGCGTGTATAAACTGAGGGAAAGGGACCTGTGTATCCAGCAGAAGATGCACTGGAGATTGGGTGAAGATGAGGTCAGGAAAAGGGTTAAGCTGGCCGATTCACCTCACCGCGATATCAAGGCACGGAGGGAGACGTACAAACACAGATACCATAGAGTCCGAGTTGAGTTTGAATTGGCTTTGGTGTACGCATTTTAATGAATGTACGGTAATAATCCTACGTCAAATTTGTTAATCTCCAGTGTGTTTTGTTTATTGCAGAAGCTCAAACAGAAGAATCAACAGCTGAAGCAAATAATGGACCAGCTCCGGAATCTCATCTGGGAGATAAATTCCATGCTTGCTGTGAGAAATTGAGCCACTGACACACACTCACACACACACACATGCACACACACAGGTTTGTAATTATGTCTTTATGGGGACTCTCCGTTCATATCTATGGGGAAAACTCTAATCCCAACATGACGACCTTGACCCCTACCCAGTCTTAACCTTAACCATAAGTAACCAAACAAAATATGAGACTTTTGGCATTTTTAAGTTTTTGATTGCATTTACGGATTTATGTGGGAACCTGATAAATGATCCCCACAGCGTCAAAATAACAGACTTTTATCACATTGTGGGGGACATTGGTCCCCACAATGTAATATAAACATAATCCCATACACACACACACACACACACACAGCCAAGGGCAGGGAGATGGCAGCTGCACTCCGGCTGAGTGTCTCTCTCTGACCCCAAAGCAGCACTTTAGAGCAGAGTACCTTCACAGTTCACACAGCACAGTCACCTCCAAGGGACACCGTTGCTACATTGTTATTTCGTACATGGCAAAAAATACGCAGAAGACTCACGTCGAGAGCCAGACCGATTCCCCAAGCCCTGTTATCCGTAACGGAGTGTCCTGGTGGAGTTCATTACACTCATGGCATCTAAGGTGTTAGCCCCTATCAAGATGTCTGCGAAAGCGCAAGTCAGCAGCGGACGTCTCTGCTGTCCCAGTGGATCGAATTTCCCACAAAATGTATGTTTGTGAAGGTAGTTTACTGCCTTACTTGTGTTTAAATGATCAAGAAACCTCCCTAAGGGTAGAGAAACAGAGTCGCCTTTCTGCTTAATGATACCAGATGCTTGACTCTCATTTGACTTAGTCTGGGCGCTGGCACGCTGTTCTATAAGTAGGCAGTACTACACCGCGATATATTTTACACGGGGTTTAAAATATACCCTGAGAAGCAAGGCTTTCCAGAAAAGTCATTTTCCTGTAATTTCTAGAATTTCATTTTCTAGGATTACATTTTAATGGAACTTCTAAATTCAGATCTTAAGTGCTTCTTGCTTTTTTTTTTGTGAAAGAGTTTTTAATTAATATTTATGTTGTATAATGTAATGGATGACTAGATAAATAGGAAAGGTATATTGGAGAGTGCTTGTAGTTGTGTTCTTGTTTTAGCCTCTCAGTTCAAAGTGCCATTGTCCTAAAATTTTGAAATGAGGGGTCAATCTTCTGATTTTGATGAGGTCAGCATTTATATGCACAAACCATTTTCTGACACCATATAACTAAATGAAGGAAAGTGTTATGTCTCATTCGTTGTGGTTTTAAAATATACATTTGTTATGTACAGCACTGTAAAGCAGGGCTGAGTTCAGTAGCATTATTGTGTATTTTTTAATTCCTGCTGCTTGTTGGTGTCGTTCCAGCCTGCTTTCATTTTCATGGTCTGCTCTTGCAGACGTGCAGATGAAATTAAATCTATTTGTGTGCTTTTTTGAGTGTACTCAGACCATAAAAGCCTTTCAATTAAAAAAAAAAACTGCTTATCTGAAATCTGAAATGAAAATGATTAATAATTCACTTGATCATTGGGTCATGCAAGTTATATAATGAGGATGTTTTCACAAAGAGGTGTAAAAAGGACAAAGCTGAAGAGATGAGAGGCGTTGTCTTGAAAGGAACGAGGAAAAAATCAGTAGGGATAGGTTGGAAATTCTGTGAATGATGGAGCTCTTGTTCTCTGAGAGCCGCATATTGTACGGTTTTCTTTGGGTTATGACGCAGATCCTTGTGCGTTCAGAATGTAACGGCCTCCTTGAAACACAACAGGGAAAAGTCATTTGTGTGAAGAGTAAGGAGGCACGTGCGTGTTAACCAGCAGAACACCAGCTGCATCCATACTTGGAAGAGGCCAGGAACTTCATTTTTAGCTGCTTTGTAGAGAAGGTAGAGAAGGTACATAAGCATCTCATCTACAGGCTTTGATGTGTGGGCCTTTTTAATTAGGTCTAGGTCTGCTTTCCAGCCTTCACCACGATGCATGTCAGCAGAATACCTTTCAAATGATCATGGAGATGTTGATTATAATGTAAATAACCAGTAACGGTGAAGACTTTCGACAAGATTTTCTTGCCCATCAACTTGTTGAATATTACTTCTTTGGGGGGAAATTGTGATTTATAAATTACTGGCTTAAAATATGATAAATACAAATAAACATTAAAATGATGAAGCCGTGGAGGAGATTGTCATCAAAAGGCCTGACACTGGCTGATTGCAAGATGCCGTTTCGGTGAATTTTTAATATATTTTTTTCCTCCCTAGTGGGGGGCGGGGGTCCATTAGCACATCATCGTTTAAGATGGCAGTGCCAGAGATCTGTAGCTTTACTCGTGTTTCGCACCATGAGCATACATTTAGTCACTAATTATATTGCTGATGCTTTGCCAAATTATGAAGATTACCATATTTCTGAAAAATCAGCAGAAACGGTGACCGTGCTGAAAAACACCTGAAATCTAGAATCAGCCTCTAAATCCCATGAGTAGGACAGAAAGAGGCAGAAACCAAAGAGCAAATAGCATTATGCTGGAAAGTGTCTGTGTGTCTGGGGGAAGACATGAGCATCTGAAATCAGAGATAAAGTGTTAGTAATGGTATATCCCACAAAACGGCCTTGGGGAAAGGTTACCAGTGTGATTTGATGGAGCAGTTCGAGGCATGTCTGGAACATCAACAAAGATGATTGTTACCTGAGGAGACGGTCTGAATGTAACCCAGACAGCCGGCTCAGGTAAGTATGTGACAACATTCATGACTGGCAAAGGGGGAAAGGCTGAACTCGCTGGCCATTTTTTGGGAAATTTTGTAGAGGTATAACTGAAATCTGATCATTATGGATATGCGTGTGTGTGCTTGTTAATTACTGATGTTCCTTAAATGCAATATAAATCTGGCAACAAATATGGAGCCTTATGAAATACATTCTTTATAATAAAATACTTTTAATAATTTTAATACTTTAAACCTTTAATACTTTTTGGTTATGAAATTCTTGTGTATGTCTGTAATTCTCTGGTAACGACCTGTACTTTTGATTAAAATATGCATAAAGGAATGCATATTTATAAACTCCTACAATTTGCAATACTAGATTAAAAACAAAGAATATGTACTATATCTGTTTTCAAATAAAACATACATCGGATATTGAAACCATTCTGCAGTGTAAAACATTGTGCAATACCAAGAACAAGCACCAGTTCAAAGAACCAAAACTTAGCAGAGAAATCATGGACCCAAAAGAGCCTTGCAATATGTCAGGAGAATGTTTTCAGTATTTGGAAAACCACGATATTAAAAAATAAAAGCAATGGGAGATAAAACCTAAGAATATTCTATATGGAAAATATTCTTTGGTTTTGGTTTGGAATTACTAAACGTGGTTAAAAAGTGAACAATAACCTTTAAAAAAAAATTAAACTGAAAATTTTTTAAATCTCTATCTATAGGATGCTGAAAAGGTGGAATTAAAAATACATTTAAAAAAATCCTCGTTTAAAAAGTAAGCTACCCGTGCAACTGATTTATTACATACAAAATCTTTGCGTTTAAAATGTTCAGAAAATTAATAACGAAGTATTACAAGGAATCTAAAAAGACTGCGGATTACCATTCGAATTACACTGTCCAGCCTAAATGCATTTAATCCGTCAATATGTGTCAAAGTTTAAACTTACTCTAACGTGAAGATCTGCTTTTCTGGTTAACTTCATGTTTGCCGCTTTCCCGTTCCTTAGTAAAACAAACAAAACAATAAATTAATTAGCTTTATATCTTCCACAGATCATTAACAAAAATGCAAAAAAGTTAATTTTTCTGGTTGTAAATTAGTTAATTGGTTTACACCGAAAATGGACTAAAGAACACTAAACAAGGATAAACAAAAGCAAAAGTTAGCCATGAATATGGTGTTTTTACGTATTCTAACAAACGAACTAAATTTCTGATGCCATTCACCCCTGGATACCTCACAAAGCTTTCAAATGTGGACCTTTTTCCATAAAACAAGCAGTTACAATAAGCAGGTTAACGCAGACAAATTTAACATCGACTTTTTTCTTTTGTAACAGGTGACTGTGAACGTGCATAGCTAACCTGGTTCGCCATTTAACTTTCTGGTTTGATACATGGAACCCAAAAGTATTTGAAGTTTTAGGAATGGCGTTGATAATATTTTAATAACTTACCCTGCATTGTAGTTTGGACGTCATTAAACCTCATACATTATCTGTAAGAAGGGAAACTATGTGTGTCTGTGTGTGTGAGTGCAGTCGATGATCATATGACACAATAGAGAGAAAAAGGAAGGCAAACTGCCCCGTGCAGTGCCGCACTTAGATGTGTGTGAGCACTCTCGATGCTCGGCTCTCCTACAAGGGGGCTCGTTTGGAGGTTCTAGCAGGGGAGCGGATACGCGCAGACCGTCCTCTTCGACCGAGCGCAGAGCTTCGGGAGGAACGCTGGTGGATTGTCGAGGGAGGAAGGGGACACCCGCCTATACCAGATCAGCCGAATAACCCTTAGCGATCAATGGGGAGTTACAGATGTCGCAGCCAGTTCGCCCTCACATCCGAAAGTAACATAGCTTAAAAGTCTATTTATACAATGAGCTCCCAATCACTGTTTGGTATATGGTTATTTGTTATTAGTATTTGTTATAAATGTGACACATATTCCCTCATCACATACTTAATATATATAACTATTCTTAATATCTATATATTAAAAACTAAATTTCAACAATTTTGCGATATAGAAGCAATCGGAATATTACCCAGAATGCAAGGTGAATTTGGTAGCATGTGATTGGGCCTAATTCGTAATATATTTGACGTCATCAACTGCTATGCTCGGTACGGTCTCTTCTCTTAAAGACACACACACACACACACACACACACACATTCATATAGGCTGCGAGTTGTATTATAGAACTATAAACGGAAAATTTGTAACAGTCTCTCCAAGAAGTTAAAGGTAACTGTATTAATTCTGTTGTTGAAAATTTCCTATGATCGATTTTTTAAATTATCGGTTAAGATACAGTGAGTAGGGATTCAGCTTCCGTCTGAATCTTTGAGTACATGGATGTGATATGTTTTACCTATAATTTCTGGAGATTAGTTATTGCTGTGGTGAGTTTTTGTAAGATACCTAGATAAAATCTGAAATATCTTGTTTTATGTAATAACCACGTGTTCAAATTCTACTAGAGGTTAATAATGTCACCCCATCTAGGGTGTTCCTCTGCCTTAATTGTCCCCAGTGCTGTCTGATAGGCTTCAGCCCCCCCAGTGACCCTGGACTGAATACACATTTAGAAAATGGAAGGATAGCTGAATGGGTGTTTATCTTCTAGAGTACTTTTAAACTAAGCTATAATAACGTACATATTCACTGTTCAATGTTTGTGTATTGTTATATTTCACCAGATAAAATGACAGAATTCCAAAAAAAGATCACACAAAAGTGATAAGGTTGTATGTTTCCAAGCTCTATTTTAAAAACCTTTGCATTCTTTATATCTCCCCACTTTGTGTGTGATGCATTAAAAATTAAACTATATTCCTTCAACGGTAGAATCAAAACTGATCCGCCTACTTCTGCAATCAGAAAAGTGTCATCACACATTACAACCAAATGTTTCATGTTTTTAAGGAGGGGGGAATAATGTCTGTTTTATATAAGTAGGCATGCTAATCTAGTTAACCTAGTAATGGTAGAGGTGGAATCGTTCCAGGGGAGACGTAATAATCACATAATCAGTCACATCCAATCCATTTCAATATTTAGGTGTTTTTGTTATTCACATTGAAAGCAGCATCCTTGAACACTCAGACAACAGCACAGGTTTATTATCAAATATGATTTATTAATTTTTTTTATAAAATCATTCTTACAAAATTGTAATTCTATTTTTCTTTATTACCGCTATAAAAGTAATTTATTAATTACAACTGATAATGAGAAACACGGGGAAGGACAGGGAGGAGAAGAAAATTAAAACCCAAAACAAACAAAAAAAAATACGCGTAAGTGTGATTAGCGGCCCCCTCCACCCAGGAAACAAAACATAGGAGGGGGACAATAACCTCATGCGGGTCTGAACGTCTGTTCCACGGAGAGCCGCCGCATGACGATCTAACGAAGGGGGCGGTACTTCCACCAATCAAAGCAGAGAACTCCAGTGTTAGACAGTGTACGTCATCAAGGCAGCATCGCGTGCTCGCGGGTCCGTTTGCTGAAACGCCAGAGGGGTGGGCTGTGCAATTTGGGGGCCAGTTTAGAAACCAAAATAGGAAGTGAATTTAGTCAAAGGCACATTCACACTGTCCAGAAACGGACATCCTGACATGCCCCGTCCTCCCTAAAAAAAAAAAAAAACCCAGACTTGACAGTAAGGAATTTCATGCATAACACACTGAGCATGAGAGGGGATTCTCCTTCATGATATATCGGAAGGAAGCGATAAAACTCTGGACTGGCACGCAACACACATCGAGTATTAGTTATTTTACAGGAGGGTAGTGTTCTTGTTCCATATTTACAATTTTCTTCAGCCAACGGTGTTAACTATAGGATGCATCCAATAATACTGCTATTTAATTACATTTTACACTTAAAAACCCTTTTCACTGATCAGGAACATTAGAACTCCAGAGCAGATGAAATGCCGATGTACACAGTGATCTCTCGAATCTCTGCAGGCTCTTACGAATGTACAACGCCGTTCTCATTCATTAGGAGGTTCTACAAAACGGTACTTTAGGTGCCTTTTAGAAGAGGCGAAGACGCCCAGACCGCTAATTGGTTAATTGAGACATCATGTGACACAAATCTCATAATGAACAAAAACCGACCGATAAAAAAAAGAGGTACAGAGCTATGTTTACAGGACAGAAGTCTTTGGTGGAACTATGTCAAATGTAATCTACAAAGGAAAAGAAGCGGTCAAACTGCGGATTACGTTGAAAGCTATCTGTATGGCTTTGTGACATATCTCCCTCGTTCCCCGGCTTTAATTGCACAGGTCACAGAATCATTTCCATCCTGCCATGGTGGAGCTGAGAGATGATTATGCTTGGGTCATGAGGATAGTCTTTATTCTCTGAATGACGTGACAGCATAGTGGAAAATAAGAACAAAACTGTCAGCATGGGGGGGAAGGGGTGACATTACAAATGTACATCGTTTACAAAATAAGATACGTTCTTTTTATGCTTTACAGATTTACCCCAGCTAAGTAGCCCCCGGATTGCTGTCAGTAATCACATAGAATACATCTGTTAGCCTCCATTCCTTGTGAAAATAAATATACAAGTCTATATACTGTAACTAGGCTTTGTGAAATGTCTGTTGGCTAAGAAATGAATCACGCACAGAACTGGGAGTTTCCATGTGAGATGTCTCAAATGTTTAAATTAAAATGACAGACATAAAGACTGGATTTCAATTTAAAATGCGATTTAAAGGAGAGCTGTACTCCAGTGTTAACCAGCTGAGGGTCATGAGTTTTTGGGTTGCCGTGGCTTAATCCGTTCCCACAGATCGTTTCGTCTGTGTATTTGCTGAGAGTACATCATTCATTTTTAAATAGTGAGGCAATAAGTAAACCTAAGCTTTCGAAATCCTCATGAAAGCGATTATATATAAATTTACTTTGAATCTCCAGGGTCAGATTGGGGTGCAATTTTGGGCAATGTTTCCCAGTCGAGGTAGTTTGAACTCCCGATATCCCGTGACACCTTTTGCTGTAGTGTTTAAATATGATTGCCGTCTTAACAAAGAGCAGTTTCTAATGTCGCAGAGTTGAAATGTTTGAATTCTTTCACAAAAGTTTGGGAAATGTATCTGTAGTGGCATAAAAATCAAGGATTATACCATTCGTTTCCTATATTGTTATATATTTGTCAAATCCTTGCAATGCACCATAGTCTCTAACACTTCTGGCAGTTTAGTATATTCTGATAAAAAAATAGGAACTAATTCCACTTTCTTAAGGTGACAGGCTAGCTGTGCTCTTAAATAGTTTGGTTATATAATAATGACATAAGCTGGAGAATTAGGTCACCACCCGTCACTGAGAGCTCGAGCACAGATCCAGGAAAGCTGGCGTCTGTTACGGTACACATCTGAAACAGACTTTCGCGGCTAAATAGGAAAGTTTTTTTTTTTTTTTTTAGAAGGAATCGTGATGGGGATTAAAGTCACAACGATGCTGTGTAATCTGACTTTGGTTCAGAGCTGGTTGACACTGAAATCCAGTCCCCTTCATTAAAAGGCCACTTGCAGAGTGCTCCTTCAAGTCCTCAGACATTCAAGTACCTGTCCGAGCTAAGACTAACATAGCCCTTGCTCTAAAAACATAAAAAAATAATCATAAAAAAGCATTTATTCAGCATGGATGGTAAAGTACCGTTCCCTGTTCTCAGCACCATTCCCTTGAAATGTAATCAATAAAAACATGTGAATGCAAGACTATAGTGATGAGCAATGAAGTAGCTACACAGACAGCACACAACGCTGGAGACGGATGGGCTGAGAGACCTCCCACGTGGGAGGGGCTTCAGGCTGAAAATGACTGGAGTACTGGGGTGTCGGGTGGGGTAGGTCGCCTTCTCTACTCTTAGGGATATTCCCAGGCCTTTTAACCCAGCACAATGGCTTGCTGCAGTGAGGCTGCCCCTCTTTGTAATTCACAGGCGCACCCCTTCCTTCGAGTTGTATTTGTACAGGAGAACACAATGGCAACAAAACAATGCGGGGTGGTGTATAAAGAGGTCTGAAGATGTTGACGATATAGAAAAACATTAAGGATTTGGGAAAATGGCTACCGTACACCTCCGACAGGATGTTACAATCAGGTGATGATCATGTTTTGGCGACGATAAAATTGTTTTGTTGACTGAATGCCAACAAAAAGCTGTTCAGGCGAATGTAGCTTGAAAAATTTGTCTGTCACATTTTTATGTTACAACATTTATGGGCAGTGCAACACTGAAGAGAATCCTCGACGACACTAAATCTTGGTGGGTTTGAACGGAGAACATGAGAATTCTGTGACCTTGTGTTTAAACCGATCACCATAGACATCAAACATTATCAAAATAAAAACAGAGAAAACCTGCACAAATAAAAAAAAAAAATAACTTTATAAAACGGACAAGGACAGCTGTACTTTGTAGTGTTAGGCACCGTGAAGTTGTGGTTTTGACAATTCGATTGGGTGTTCACCTCCCTGAAAGGAAAGATCGAGGGCTTTCAACAGGAACTGCGATGGGGGAATACAAACAAAACCAGGCAAATAAAAAAGGCTGAAAAAAAGGAGTAAAAAAAGTGTTTTTTTTCCTCTCTCTCCCAGGTAACAGATTTCAAATAAAACCTGCTTGGTTGCGATAAAGGGGGCAATCAGAGAATAGGGGTCAGTCCACTTGCGGCATTCGTTAAAAAAATATGCTCTCCCACAGTCTTGTCATCAGTAGTGCGTGCTTGTGTCGTGTGTGTGCATGTGCGCACGCCCGTGTGTGTGCGTGTATGTGCTTCCCCTGACGTGTCCCGGGTCCTGCGGCCGTCGTCGTGGCAACGCGCACTGATTGGAAGACCGAGCTGTAGCACCCCCTGGTGCACATGCAGCATGTCCTGTCCTTCCTTGTCTCTACGTGCCCATCCTCCCCTGCGCTTTGGGCAGAGGGGTGGGCAGCCATGGGGCAGGGACGCCAGGGCTCGTCAGAGTCTCTCGATGTCCCTGTATTTCTTGCGCAAGATGGAGACCTGGTCCTTAAAGAGAACTGGGTCCAACCTCATCTGGGAGTGGACCAAGGGCATGGTGCCAAACCAGCTGGCGAATTTGTTCATGCAGGTCTGGCGCTGGGCAAAGTGGTCTGGGTCGGCCCAACGTGAGGCTCGGGATGACTGAAAGCAAGGAGGGGAAAGAGGAACACACAATGGCTCACGTACACTTCACTGTTTTCACTGCTGCATTGTAGCTAAGCAGCACTGTAGCTGAGTTGCATTGTAGCTAAGCAGCACTGTAGCTGAGTTGCATTGTAGCTAAGCTGCATTGTAGCTAAGCAGCACTGTAGCTGAGTTGCATTGTAGCTAAGCAGCACTGTAGCTAAGTTGCATTGTAGCTAAGCAGCACTGTTCATAAGCAGCACTGTAGCCGAGTTGCATTGTAGCTAAGCAGCACTGTAGCTAAGCAGCACTGTTCATAAGCAGCATTGTAGCTAACCACAGTGTCGCCAACTCTCATGCATGCACTCACGCTTTCAGCCTTAATCTCATGCTCACGCAAGAAATGTCACGGCAAATATATATTATTCCATTATAAACCTAAAATTAGCTACGTCAAAAGTGTTGGGGTAGTCTGCAAACCCTACAGGCTATTTACAAGGTAAGAAAACGGTTACATACATGCACGTGCGTGTGTGTGTATAAGCGCACGCACGCATTTGAGACTCGTCTCAAATTGAAAATCTCACTCCAGCCAGCTGGTCAAAGTTGGCAACCATGTAAGCAGCACTGTAGCTAAGCAGCACTGTAGCTAAGCAGCACTGTAGCTAAGCAGCACTGTAGCTAAGCAGCACTGTAGCGCTAGGTCTTAACTCTCTCTAATCAAGCAATATGAACATTGTTGTATTACTCTGCATAATAATAATATTATTTTGTGTACCTGTCCCATCATGGTCTCTTTATACTGTTTCTTCTGTGTGACCTTAATGGGGGGGAGTTTGGTGACTGCAGACACCAGGAAGTTCATGAGGATGTCCTCACAGTTGGCCAGCTGGTCCACCATGTTCTTCAGGCTAGCTGGCAGGAAGTTAGTGTACAGGTAGTGGTAATATCTGTCGGAAGAGGAAGTTCTGGTTAAGCTTGACGGCTTGCAGGCAGGTTGAGGTCCCGGCGCCTCGATGGCGGCCCCTCACCTGTGGTAGATAGCAGCTCCAGTTAGCACCATGGAGTAGTCGTTGGTCCACTTGGAGGTGTAGCCCCAGCGTTCTTTGTTGCTGTCCCAAAAGTGGCTCCGTGCGGGGTATCCCACAATCCTCTCCGGGAAGCTCTGCCAAACGGTGAAGGCAAAATCCACCTATGGGGAATGAGCAGGGTGAACAGTAGCTGTCAAACACGCAGTCAGTGCACACAAACCCTCCTGTCCATATGGTACAATCCAGCTGAGCGGTTTTTAAAGACGGTGATAAAAAGGTAAAATACCTGTTGTTGCTACATACACGACAGCCATATTGCCCCCCCCCCCCCCCCCGAAGTCCCTTTATGGGGGCACATGTACAGCAGGCAGCTCGGAGCTCAGCTTCCCAAACCACAGGGCCCGAAGGTGTGGCAACACCATTGGCAGGAGCTCCACCAGCGCTCTACGGTGGGGGGCAGTGGCCACAAGGGGGCGCCGGGGCGACACGTCAGGAGGCAGAGCTAGGAGGGCACCACCCTGGGCAGCCCTCTGCTCGGACGAGGCGCACGCCGTGCCAGCTGTGCCGGCGACAGTAACGGAAACCGCGCCCGGCCCGCCCTCCTGCCCGCCACTGCGCCAGTGCTGACATCACCGCGCCACACCGACTGCTGAACTGCGCAGAAGCACCAGCAAACTGCAGGCACACAACACCTTGGCCTCCATATCAGAAAACATTTATCCAAAAGCATTCACAATTGTTACCCATTCAGTCACATTTTACCTTCTTATAAATACCAAACCAGAGAGCTCCTGGGATTCGAACACTCAGCCTTCCGGTTATGATTCATGTTCTTGCCCACACCTGCCTCCACAGACCTCTCACCCTTCCATTAATCTCAGCAGGAGCCTTTTCCTACGAAGGTAAGACTGACCTACCTTCATGCCAGGAGGAAAAACAGATGGAGAGAGACATCCAAGGATGGACGTGACCTTTCCACCTAAGCTGACTCAGCAGGTTCTCAACAGCCACAGGGCAATACTGCATAACACTCCATGGTCTTTGGAATAAAAATCTTTCAGATATTTCCAAGAGTTATCAGTGCAACTTGAACAGAAGACACAAAACGAGCTCTTTATGAAATGTGCTAATTATCGCTCTTTCAGGAAACCAGTTAATTGTCAAAGATTTGGAATTTATAACTATTAGGCCGTTGACAGAACAACAAGCGATTGTTAGGTATCTCAAAAGGAATAAATAACAGCAGGATCCAAAGGGGGGGGTGGGGCTTTCATATACTTTTTTGTAAAGGGAAAACAGACGATTTCTCCAGCAATAAACCGATCCCCCCCCCCCTGCCCGTGTTATTAATTTGGAGAAGTGAAAATCAAAATGCACTCTCTAAGGACAGCATTTCCCTAGCCGGAAACAAGGCCAACAACAAAGCAGCAGCAGTGTGTCTTTGAAGGGAGGTGGGTGGTCAGGAGGCCCCACAGGCCACACCGGAGAGCACGGAGCTGGCACACAAGTGGACCTGGCACCGGAAACCATGCCAGCCATAACAGAGGACTGAGACTCTTCAGAAGTTTCCAAAAAATGTAATCAAGCTTAATTAAAAAAAGAAAGCTTTGCTTTCTTTTAAAAAACTTTGTTACGTTACACCCCATTTCATCATTTCCAGTCAGAGAATGCATGGCCATTTGCAACCTACCCACTCATGTCAGTGTGGGTCCATGGGAGGCACTCTGGTGAACATTAAGATCGGGCGGGATCAGAACCGATGACTAACTGGTGCTGGACATGATTTTCACACAAATGAATGCAGATCGGAATTTAACACCCTGAGGGGGTTTGTGAAAAAGTGCACCCCCGTCTGTCCTGACAGCTTATCCTCACACCAGCCTCAACCCACCCCCCCGGCCCACACCCCATCCTATAATTAACGACCAGTTAACTCATTGTAACAGATGCGAATGAAAAACAAAAGGGTATGAAATAAGGAATCAATATGTCATCATCCCAGCACTAGCAAAGCAGCTCAACGTGGCCGGCTCTGGGTGCGAGAGCCCATGGCCATTGTGGCGGACACAGAACATTCTCCCACTAGGGGCGCTGCAGAGTCACGGCAGGCAGTTACCTCAGTGGTGGACAGCACCGTGTCTTCATCCAGACTCAGTACAGCATCCGTCACAATCGTCTCGTAAGGCTGGAAGCGACTGCTCATCACCTGTAGGGGGCGGTAGGGAGGGACCATGAGGGTCACATGATCTGCAATATTCAGAGATGCTCCCACCCGGTAGAACTGGCGATTTGACTGAACTTCCCATGGACTCCAGTTAATTAATGGGGGCATTTTGGACGGGCAGACTGGGGGAGGGCGGGGTGTGTGAGAGCGCATCATTAAGGTAATGCTCGAGAGCCGCCACACACTCTGTACACAACGCTTCTCAGTTTGCGCAGCAAAGATAAAACTGCAGTGGGACACGAGATTAGACAGTCATTCCTCTGGCTTGGGGGGGGAGACACAGCATCCCAGCTGCATTTTATTAAAATCTCATGAAATGTAAACTGCTACAGAACATTTAGCCTCTAATAGCAGCGATAACTCTGGAAGGATTCTGTGCTTCAGTGCTGCAGCTGCGACCAAACACGGCACATACGCAAACACGGAGCCCCCAAAGCCCCACGCACAGAGGCCCCGGCAACGGGTTTAAGCAAATATCCATTTCCGACATTAAAGCGAAAGGAAACAGCCGAATGCGATTCTATGGCCAAATGTCACATGACCAGATGGATGATGGCCACCATACCTGTGCTGCGGTTCTCTAACGGAGGTCAGTGTCACAGGGGCTGAATCACACTGGCCAAGCGGTAGGGCTGAGCAGCGTGCAGGGGAATATCAATGAGCTGTGTGCTACATCCACCCACCCACCCACACGCGGCCCCACATTCCCGCTCACTGCCAGCTTCCTCCTGGGACAGGCTCGGTCGTGAAGGTCAGTCAACCCGCGGTGCCTCTGCGCTCCTGAAACTTTTCCCGTTACATAAAGCGTGAGGCATGTAAAATGTCAGGACGCACTCGGGTAGCCGGAGTTTGCCTGCGTTATCTGAGTTCCTTCTGGGGGGAGATCGATACGGAGAGTTGCACATAGACATGGGGCCTGTACACGAAGCGGGGTGGGTTAGGCAGGCCAACGGTGGAAAAAGCCCCATGGGAGACTCACAGATCACCCCCCCCCCCCCCCCCCCCCCCGGGGGGGGAGGAAAAAAAAAAACGGGGGGGGGGGGGGGGGGGGGGGGGGGGGGGGCGGAACGAGACACTCCCACCACTCCCCAGGGAGCAGGAGGAACATGGAAAATTGAAAGATGGTGCTTTTTGTGCTCAGAAATTTTCCCATGTCCCGTGCCATAGAGCACTCCCCCCCCTCCTTCCAATTCAGAGTCGCTGAGTCACCGCAAGCCCCCGTACGCTCCCGCCCACGCATGCTCCATGCGAGCCCTAACACGCAACCCCCCCCCAGGAGGGCCCATGAGCAGATGTGGGAAAGGGCTAGAAGCATAACCCTCCCTCTCCGGCTGAGACCCAGCTCGCAGATTCAGCTTTGGCCCTCATCCTTCTTAATCTATAAAACACCTGGCGCACAGTGACCCTGCCTTCCCGCATCTCCTGCTACATCACAGACCCGCGTTAGCAATGGCCGACAGTGAAGAGGTGCATTGTGGGACTTCAGGCTCTCCAGAGGGACGTGAGTTTCGTTTCCACCCTTAAAACAAAGGCCTGGTCTGAGGCCAAGAGAACAGCCCTGCGGGGGACAGATTGGCGGACGGCACTGTGCGGAAGGAACGAGGTCGGCAGAGCCAGGACCCGGCCAGGCCAGCAAGGTCATAATCGAGAAACCGCGGGCTGGCCGGCAAGCTGAGCAGCCTACAGCCAAAGACAGGCTCTCCCTCCACAGGATAAACACTCTCCACCGCGGGCTGGAGGTAGGAGTGAGGAGAAGGGACGCCATGACACCAGCGCTCACACCACAAGACTCCCAAATCGACAGTACGGCGCAGAGAGGGACCCACCTTACTGTCCCCCTCGATGACGATGACAGGCACAGAGGTGGCAGGCCAGCGATGCTTGGCAGGGAGGGGCTTGTCGCAGTTCCACAGGACGATGATCTGAGAGGGGGTTTGTGGGGGAGGGAGGGAATACGATCGACGGCAAACGTGTTAACGGCGATTCGCGGGAAGAACACCCACGAACACAAGGTGCAGGACTGATGGCGCTGAACACAAACATTATACGACACGTCAAACTGGCCTCTTTGTAATACTTATATATTCATTAGAAAACAACATTATGGTAATAAGGACATGATTAAATCACACATGCACCGTCGGTTGTGAAGTCAAGAGCAAAACCAACAGCAGTTAATTGCTTGTTTAAGTTGGATTTTTTTCCAGCACGTGTTACAGGGAGTCTTTTGGTGAGAGATCGCACCCTTTGGTAGAAATGCTGACCAACTGAAGATCTTACCTGCCTGTCCTACCTACATTATTGAGTCTGGGACACCCGTGGACACCCCCCACAGCAGCGGCTCAGTTTAGGCAAACCCTGCAGAAGCCATTATGTCAACTGCTGAGCGTTTTATTTGAAGGAGGGTACTGAAGGAGTATTCGTATACCCCCCCCCCCCGCCAAGCAGCCTGATAGTCATTATCACTTCTGGAAAATCCAGGCCCCGCTTCTGTGTTTACGTCTTCATACGTCCACTTCAGTTCCTCGGGACCCCAGGGATGCTATTTCAGAACTTCCTGATTACACGCGGCGTTTCCTTTTTTGATAAAGAGGACCGAAAAACACAAGGGGGGCGCTGTGTCAGTCAATGCCGCTCGCTCGGCAGTGGGGGGCGCCGGACATGGCAAGGCGTTGTTCCGTGGAAAAACAGAGATGTGCGTTTATGGGATACGGGGCAGCTCGCTTTAGAGTGAGCAGGATCCAAGCTGGTAGAGCCTCTGTTTACCGGTCTCATCAGGAAAGGGCCCCCGGCCGCTATCCGACAGAGCGGAAAAGCAGCTTCTGGGCTAATTACCACCTCTCCCAGTCAGGCTGCGGAGAAATTAACCAGAATCAACGGGAACTCTTCCCATTGCCCTTCTCTCGTGTGAAGAAACGGCAGTCTGTGAGCTGTCCGTTACACAGGGCTGAGATTCCTCCCCATGGCCTTTAATCAGCAACGTAGACAGCCTTTGTTGATCTTTAGGCATCGACATTTCGATGCTGCTGCGGACCGACACACGAGGGGTTCCAATAGGGTTTAATAAAATTTTATGACACATACAGTATTCTGTAACACCCTAATTAAATTAAGTTTAAAGCTATTTATCTGTGCACTAAATGCGTATTTGCATAATACTGTAAACAGAGCGAGGCTTCAGCTGGGTTTTATTTATAGTGTGTGTTACGCCGTTTTTTTTTTTCCCCCCATGTCCCATTTTCCCCTTCCTATTCAGTGGATTTGCACCTGTGCAGAGGCTGAGTGGGGTCCATGCAATCCCCCCTCCTTCCCCTAGGGGGCACTCTTACCTGGGCGCAGTACTGCGACTTGGCCACCGCCACCAGGAGCTTGAGAATGGGCTGGGACTGGGACACCAGAGGCGTGACGGCGTGGATTACTGCCGTGAACTTTGGGTAAGGCTTGATACCTGTGAAACGGGCCAGAAGGACAATTAGCTTCAGTGTCACAGATCGGCACAACCACGGACCGCAAGGTCGCCATCTTTGACTTTTGTCCAATTAACCGGCATCCTTTGGGATATTTTTAAATATGGTCACATGACTGATCAGCTGGTCAGGCTTTACCACTAAATGATGTCACTCTCCAGGTGGGCAGATTCCTTCAATTAATCAAATGAGATCACGCAAATGACACGTTGGCCATTTGAATAAGGGGGGCCATTTACATGCATCCCGTTGCATAATTACATTCATTTTTCTATTAGTTAAGGGAGCTCAGTTATCCATTAGATTAGCGAGCGACAGCTACTTAGCAGATGCAGGATAATAAAGTAACAAGCAGCTTGATCTGTTAGCGAACCCCGTGATGCAGAGATTTAGTTACGGACGCTGGCGACGTTGGAACGGGGGAGGGGGTCACTCACCGAGCGCAGCGTAGTAGAAGGGGAAGTCCCCCAGGTAGACGGAGTACTGCGGGAGCGCGAAGAGCCCCCCAGGGTGGCTGTTCCACATCAGGGTGCTGCGGGACCAGTGCTGGAACACGCGGTCCTGGACGATCTGTGGGGAGGGGAGGCAGGGACCGGCGATGAGTGCGTGGGGCAGGCGTCCCAGTTCAGGTCCAGAATATAAAGAGTCATACTCACAGAGCTGCTTGGCTGAAACAAAACCACAATATGAATTTTTTCTGGACCTGAGCTATCCACCTCTGAGTGAAGGGGGCCGAGAGGAGCGTGGGACAGCGACGAGCGCAATTCGGAATGAATTAACGGCACCGTGACACATGACGGCAGGGAGAATCACAAAAGAGAGCCGTCATTACAACAGGGCACAGGGCCACCATTAAAACTCAGGCCACAACTTGTCACACACTGAGTGAAAAATGCCAGAAAGCTGTCAGACTGCCGCCAATCAGACAGCCTCCCTTACACTCGCGGGGGTAGATCGATAAGCAGCGGTCACATTTACACGTGCTCCTTTCTCCGCTTAATGAAGGGGCACTCGCTGAAAGAGCATCATCCTTCTCCTCAGTAACGGGCAATTTCTCAGCCAGCTGGATGCTGGGGGCGATGTCCTACGCAATCCGGACTCTCCGGCCACAATCACCCAGACGCAGATGAGGAAGGAGGGGAATGTAAGGTAAAGGCTCTTCAAAGCCTTCAAAGTATACTGATTGGCTAACTGCCTCGGTCTGGAGAGATCACATGCTGCCAGAGAGCCAATGGGCTGCCTTCAGGGCCCCAGAGAGGGATAACAATGTGACCTACCCCCCACCACACCACCAATATTACATCTGCTTACAGGCGTGTCTCCATACCCCCCACGGCCTGGCACGTGAATTAAACATGACTATGGTGCTGACACGCTTTACATATGTTGGGCTGCTCCCTCTGCTTCGCTGGGGCAGGGGGCAGGGGGGAGGGGGGGGGCTGTTACCCACAGTACCTCACGCTGGCTTAATCAGCGGGGTACCACCCTTTCCTATCAATTTCTCATACACGTTCACTTGGTAACTGCGAAAACAAGCACGTTTAGTTAGCACTGGCTAATCGATAGCTGTGGTAACTGCGAGTGGACAGCATGGGCCCGACTGGCTCTGATCAAAAGCAGAGCTGCCTTTCAAAAACAGAAGGGCAGAAAAAAAATGGTGTAATTTTTAGCTACATTTAAATCAGGCATTAATACTTAGCTAATGGATGATTAATTAGCATATAGTGAGAAAGAAAAAAGGTCAACATAACCCAGTCTGAACATGCAGTCGCATTTAATTTGTATTCAGTCATAATAAACCAAAAAAATAGTACTTTTTTTCGAGGTGGGCCGTGTTTTTATATTTAATTCTGGCACAGACATTTCGAGCCATCCCACAGATATTCACTAGGGATCACTATGTTTTGCTGATGAGGTGGGAGACACGAACCACAAAGTTTAGAAGTTCATTTAAAAAGTTGACTCATCAAACATGGCCGCCTGGGTTCCCGCGGCAAGGCTGTCCGTGGAATGCCTAAGTGGCCCCTCAGGTGTGTTTAGTACGATGGGCTGCTTTCTAATTAAGACGCCTTTGCCGAAAGCAATATGGACAAAAGCTCCTGGCCTGCTGTAATGATCCCAGGGTCGGGGAGCGGCGTGGGCGCCAAGTATAGACGGCGACAGTCGGTTCCCATGTATTGACCAGAACCTCCAGGCTGGCCTCGTTCCCCCACCCCTCAGGCAGAGATGAAGGCAACCCAACCTAGTGGCGTAGGGATGCACCTCATTCAGGAACGCCACATATTCCAGGAACACACCCCCCCTATGTGGAAGGGGAGGGATTTTCATTTCTCCCAAATGAGCAACTACAGGCATGTGGGGAAAGTGGATACGAAACGCACCAGGACGACGGGATCAAATTCTGCCATTACTCGTGTGTGCTCGGCCAGGCCAGATGGAGTTATCTGGGACCATCCATTATTTATTTACCTCCAGAGTGGTCAATACAATCTTCTCCACAGAAGAAAAATAGGCCTCCCACAGGAACTGTGTTTGCTGTCTAAGTGCTAGGATTTTGTCCTGATGGATGGACCGGGCCGTGGATGGGATCTGGGAACGACAAGACAGCAAGAATAATCAGGTCATCTGCAGCTGGCCTGGGGAAAGGAGCATTAGCATGTGATTAACAACCCACAGGACGGGAGACGGAAGGTCAGACTGGTGTCCGTGCTGGGGAGGGTAGCTGGGGTGACCTGCCGTCTTCCCAAGATCGCTGGAATTGCTCCATTCTCACACCAATGTGCTGTTCCCCGCCCACAGGGAGCCATGTTTCTGATACGGGTTGGGGATACAAACTCTGCGCAGCTGGAAACCCAAGCCGGGCCCCGGACCCACCATCATTTCCCACCACTGAAGGGGGGGTCGATCCTCAAAACCAAGTGGAACATCCCATGTAGGAAGAATAAGGCAGGAATGGCATAGTGCTTAAATTACATCTATGCAGGGGTCAGAAAGTGAGCTAAAAAACTGAAGGGGGGGGGGTGTACTTTTAGGGAAGTGGTCTGTTTTGTGTGACATTTTTAGGTCTCGTATCAGTGCCGGATGTGACAGACGCTATTCGCGGCCCATTTGGCACCGTCATCAATCATTGTCCCACCAGGGGCAGAGGGGAAACAGGCTGTAGGCAGAGGTGGGCCCACCAAGCCGGGTCAGGATAGTGGCACTTTATTTTTAGAGGGGAAGCGGCCAGGGGGCCACGACCAGGGGCCCGCCGTCAAGCGGCTCTGATTGAAACGTGCACTTGGCCGGCGGTTCACGCGGGGAACCGGAAAGCGTAACAGCAGAGCGCTTCCCAGGATGTGATGGGGCACTCCACCAAAGGCTGGGGGGGGGGGGGGGGGGGCGAAGTGGGAAGGCATATAACCAGGTAACACATCCATGCCTTTGCTAAATGACATCACTACATGAATAAAATGCATCATCATCGTTATTAATACGATATCAAAAGCCTCTCAGCACTAGCAGGCGTCTTCATGCCACATATCATTATCATCTTGGTTATTAGTGTTTTGATAATGGTTTATTACAAAAGAATTACACAGACAGACAGACAGACAGACAGACAGACAGACAGACAGACAGACAGACAGACAGACAGACAGACAGAC